TAGATGGCCGCCAGTACCACACCTCGCTGGCCTCCTGTCTCGTGGAGGCAACTGCTCAGCTCTCTCCGCCCCATCATCCTGATCCTGTGTGCCGAACATATCATCCACCTGTGACTGAACCTGCTCATCCGGTGGACCCTCTCGTCGCTGTTGCTCATATGCCCAATGAGATGTCTGGAAGTCCTGATCCTGCATCTGCAGATCGACACGCTCCCACTCGTCGACGTCCAAATATGGCAGGACTGTACTACCTGATCCCATGTGCCCTCCTCCCATCGTAGCATGCTGAGGTGTGTGAAAGCTATCCTCCTGGGGCTGAAACTAAGGGCTAGAAGAACTGGTGCCTGCCTGAAATCCGGTAGAAGCGCCTGGCCGTAACGGTGGCTGAGAAGGCTGGTGGAATGTGAAGGTCGAAGTAGGTCTGACTGGCTGACGATCTGAGTACCTCACTCCACGAGGTACGTCACCCTGCTCACGTCGCTGTCTCCTCCTCCTGGGCTCCTATACGAACTGTGGCGGTGGCACGCCCCAGCCCGATGGTTGAGTCCTATGCTCTGGCCAGCTGGCTAAACTACGCTCATCAGGGTACCGCTGTACCGGCTCTGTATCCGAATGTCGGCGATGACTAAAACCTATAGCTGTAACCCCTGCCGCCAACTGGTCAGCATACTCCGCCATCTGGTCATATGATAGCCCTCCTGCTCTCATCCCATCACGTAAACCCTGCTCAACGGTCTCCATGCAGTCGTACTGCAATTTAAATGGAAAATATCAGAAATTCCACACATCTAAAAACAATTAAAACACAAATTTTAATTACTAAAAAAACTCACCGCTGCGTTCAGTGCAGCAACTCTCCGTGTGCCTGAACGTCTAGTGACATCTCTATACCACTCTTGATGCTCCGAGTGGTAAGCTAATTCCACGTCACTGTAGCTCGTCTGCACTACGAACTCATGTCGACGGTTCCACAACTCAATCGACTCGCTGGCTGCCTGTAAGAACTGCTGGCCACGTGATGGTCCATGCTGTCCCACACGAAGAAAAAATCTAATCTCAGCCGCGGAATGTGGAGGATGAGGCCGGTCCTGAACCATTCCAAACTGTCCTAGCACGCGATCTGGATGATGCCACATATGCGATGAGAAGCAGATCAGCGGAACTACTGCTCGAAACGTGTGGGACTGGATCACAGTACCGCTGTAGTCCTGACCTCTATGAAAGTACGGACGCCACTGCACACAAGGATTGGTCACATAATTACTCCTAAATCTATAATAAATCAATTAAAACTATTCTATAAAACGAAATGTTATATACTAACCACGAATGTCGTGCACTCGTCAAACCACAGCTTGTACAAGTAGAACTGATCTCCATGCTGACGGGTCTGGGCCGGAAGCCACCGAATGCCACGTGGCACTGCGTCCTGAGTAATCTGCGCACCCGTCACCGCATGTAGTGGTGATGTATGAGGAAACCGCTCCCACGTCCAGAGCATCAGCAAGGCGGCCCATCCACCAAAGTCACCACCCAGTGAAGAAGATGCCGTCATCTGCAGCGCCGATCTACCCATCTCACGGTACAAGTAGGATAGCACAGCTGCTCCCCAAGCAAACCTCCCCGCTCTGCGCCAATCCTCTACCAAAAGTAGATACTGCAGGTGAACTGAACCTCCAGACCGATCGGAGAACAAGACACCTCCCATCAGAGACAGCGCATACGCCCTAGCATACTGCTCTGTCGTCTCTGGTGATGCAGAAAGCGGTAGCTCATCGAAAGTCTCCCTGAGCCAAGTAATCCGGATGACGCCGCCACCAAGATCAGTAGGAGCCTGTCCTAACAGTCGAAGACACATAGCCGACCAGTCCTCGTCTGGTATGTCTACTATGACGGCATCACCGTCGATCGCTAATCCAGTGAGTGTCGCAACGTTCTCTAGAGTGATCGTCACCTCACCGAACGGCATGTGAAATGTCGATGTCTCGGGTCTCCAACGCTCTACGAGCGCAGTAATCAAACCCGGATCACCGGTAAGAGGGGCTAGTGGCAGAACACTAGACAAGCCGGCATCGACGAGATACGGCAGGTACAGTGGATTGTATCGAACTAAATTGCCCGTATGACGAATGTGGTATGGTCGATCACCAGCCTATAATTAATTAATGCACAAAGCTATATTAATTCAATTCCTTCAATTCAATTCACCTAATATTTATATTTATATATCTAAACTAAACTTATTCTAATATAATATCCTTAATTTAATCTAATAATATTCTTAATTTAATTTAATCTAATTCTATTCGTCTAATTTAATTTAATTTAATTCTATTCTATTCTATTTCTATTATACAGCTAATAAAAAAAACTATAGAAATAATTTAATTTAAGAAACTTACCTCATTTGCCCAAACTGCGTCAATCCGATGGTGACCATGCCCCCAAAGAAGTTCCGGATCATTCGGAGCAGTATCGATTGTCGTAGGTGGTGGTCTCATCGAACAAGGATCGATAAGCCTAGGAACTGAAAAAAAAATATTAGAACACAAAAAAAAAAAAAAAACTCGCCGGAAAAAGTCGCCGCCGGCAGGACTCACTCCGGTAACGTTCGTCGTCGTCGCCGCCGCCGCCACCGCCGCCACGCCGGCCTCGCCGGCCTCGGCCTCTTCCTCTGCCGCCGGGGGCGTGCTCGTCGTCCGACATAGCGCCGCCGCTGTGGTTGGTGCGCCTTCGCCTTGTGCCGAGCGCCGCCGCCTGGGACTGGGGCTCCGCCGCCTTTTTCTTGGCGTCGCCGCTCTGGTTCTCGGCGTCGCCGCTCGTTCTCGGCGCTGGGATGGAGAGGAGGAGTGGAGAGGGGATGGGGGTCTGTGGTCTGGTGTGGTGCGAGAGGGAGGGGGAGGAAGGGGGTAAAAAAAATAAAATTGATAGCGATGGCGCCCAGGTCTCGGGCTTTGGCGCCTTTGAAAATTTTTGAAATTTCAGAAAGCGCCAAAGCTCGAGTCTTGGGCGCCGTCGCTATCAACAGCCTTTAAAACTCCAATATTTGAGTCTCGGGCGCCGTCGCCCACTTCCTTTCTAAAAACACAATATTCATGTAAATAGTTTTAAAACCACTATATTCGTGGTAAATTAAAAAAAAATACAATATTCATGGAATTAACCCACAGAAGTCGTTGTAGTTTTTTTTTTTTCTTACTTTAATTTCCTTTTCATTTATATATTTGTTTACACCTAAACTAATTTTTGTTATGAAATACAATATTGCTGCGTCGCGAGATCAACGACACTGCGAGCTAAATATCATCGTAGAACTTAATGATGCCGCGAGGGCTGTGTCGTTTAACAATGCAACAGATTCATGAGGGTCTAGACAATTAGATATCCGACTCGTAGACTCCGATCATTTAGTTTCCAAAGCTAAATGCTCAAGAGGACGCTGGACTTTGGTTATATGCAGCAGATCAATGGTTTAAGAACTATCCCACTAGAGAGTAAAGGAAGGCGTATATTGTGTCCTTCTACCTAGAGGGAGATGCCCTCCAGTTGTATGAATGGGCATAGAGGTCATGTGCAAAGGCCGAGATGATGATCACGTGGTTCATATTTCAGGAGAAACTCATGTTCTAGTTCGCGAGAGCAGAAGGATGGGTGCTAGATCAACTGGCCAAACTGAGATAGACCAGGACAGTGGCTAAGTACCAGTCTAAATTTCTAAAGTTGAGGGAACATGTGTCGGGGTATGCCAAGGGAAACCTTAGTGGGTTGTGCATAGTTGGTCTGAGGCCGGAATTAGCTAGAACTGTGAAGTGTTTGAACCTAACTCACTGCAAGTTACCTTTAGACTTGCAGATAGAAAGGATGATGAGCTGGCTAGCTGGCGGAGCAGCACCGATCGCTTTCAGAAGATGACCAGTGGAGCAGGCAGAGGAGCATACATAAACTGAATAGCCGTGACCACCGCAGCCCCGACACCATGAGCTACTGCCCACATGCCCCCATTCGCTGCCTCCGTTGCACTAGTCGCGCCAGTAGAGGCTCCACCTGTGCCCCACATACCATCAAGGGGTTTCATGAGACTTACGACGACAAAGACGAAGCAGATGCTCAAAGACGGTCGTTGCTTTAACGTCAACAAAAGATACACGGTCGGACACCTATGCGCCAATGTCCACCTAATGCTGCTCGTAGGAAGCTGGGAGGATGAGGCCGAGGAGCTTGCAGTCAAGGAAAGCAAAATGAACGAGGATGCACAGATTGAACCTTGATGGCAAGGTTGCTCTAGAGGGTGATGGGATTATAGAAACTGAGTCTACTCGGCTTCTATTTGTTTTGGGATTATGAACATTTATTTATGAGTTTGGATATTTTTGTTGTTGCTTAATTATTTGGCACTTTCATGGAGTTTTTTTTTTTAGTATTAAGTTCGTTATAGGCCAAAAGTAGTGGTACTTTAACATACCGTTTGGTATAAATGAATTCCATACATTTTGAGAAATTCAATTTGAAATGAAATATTTTTGTGTTTGGTATTAAAAAAAATTCATTCTCAATTCTTAATTTTGAATTCTACGGAATTGGAACCAGTTATAGCAATTCTGAGGAATTGAGATAAAATTTCCAAATGAATTCCACAAGTATTTACTAATTATAATAGAATGACGTGATTATCCTCTTTTATTAACTAAATTACTTATACATATGACATACCAAACATATGAATTCATTTGACAATGAATTCTATACGACACTTCATTTTATTTCTAAATATTTGAATATAACATACCAATTTCACTTGACAATGAATTCTACACGATAATTCATTTTACAATGAAATGAATTCTCGATTTGGTCAGTAAAAGAATTTGCAAACGTAAACGAGGTACCTGGTTCTTTTCCTGCTGTAGCTACTTCCTGCAGAAGAAAACAGCTTTACCAAACATTATCGAATGGGCAAAACTAACTTCCAATCGCGAACTTGAATAATATTAAAAACCAATCACCACTACTAAGAACCATTTTTGCACTATGTAATTCAAAAGATAAATGCCACGTGACAAAAAGAAAGAATCGTCAAATTGCACCCTGAAAGTATATACAAGTAGGTTGAACTAACAAAATGCATCGAGCCTTCAGTTTCAGTGAGATGCTGTTTACACCATTTCTGTACTTCCCCTCTCTGCTTCTCTATACACAACTTTCCAAGTCCCATACAATTTTTTTCTCCCTCCTTTCCTCTCCACTGAACAAAGCCAGTGATGGTAAGGAAGAAAGAAAGATCTTAGCTTAACCCTTCAAGCTTTCAGATGTCAGCCTATGTACTGATATGTCTCTCTCATTCTCAGCACAGAAATTGTAGGCCGTCTTTTAAACATTTCATGCTGGCAAGGTGGCAGCACCTTCAGGACAAGAGAGCTACAGAGGCTAAAACAAAAACAAAAAAATAAACACAATAGCAGGCCCCCCTGCCTCCCACAATCGATCAGCACATCACCAAGCACAAAACGTCGCCTAGGGGTTGTGTTCCAATTGCTGCCTCCTCCAACTCACATGCCACTGCATATGATAGATCTCCACCTTCCCTACTACTATTAAGTAGGATTAATTAGAGGGACGTCTGGAGGACTACCCCGAAGTAATGCGCCAGCACATGGAGAGTGAAACGCAGTCAAACTGGCAGCAGAAAATGTTGCATGCTAGCTCCTTGCATTATCCATTGTGTAAAGTTGTATCCAAATCCCCGCCAAGGCTCTTGCTCTACAGATTAATAATGCCACGAGAAAGAACCAGCCGCCTTGTCCTTGGGGCCTCAGATATTGCTGGCTGCATGGAGTGCAAACAGTCCAAGGTTGAACTGAAGAGATGACAAATTGTGCTGTTTAAATTACGAGTCTCTTTTTCCAAAAAGCCTTTTACCACCATACTGCAAGGACTCCCTCGACCTTTCACCTGATTGTTGACCATAATTCTCCAGAGGATTATTCTCCATTGGGGGGTTATTAAAAGGCCGGTAATTCCCATTTCTGGAGATTATACTTGAGTTGTTCTCGGCATCTTCAGATGGTGTTCCTAACCTGGACTCCATATGAACATCAAAAGATCTGTTGTATCGTGGACCACCACCAGATCTCAAACTCCTTGCGTTCAATGATGGGCCTTTGTTGCCTGGCATCATTCCCTTGGAACCAAGAAAATCTTTGGGCAGAGAATCCATTTCCATAAAACAACTCCTCGCTTTGGCATCAGTTATCAGTGCCGCCCAATCATCAGACTGCATCAGAGAACTTGCATTCCCCATCACCTGTTTATAGAAAAGTACAAATATGGAATTAATAAAGAGAGAAAATTAACCGGTCTCTGAGTAAGCATCAGGCTTTTGTGCAACTACAAAAATAGACAAGTATGTCGAAAAAGGATCATACCCATAAAGCCCTTCTTGCACGTGTAAGGGCAACGTTCATCCGTCGGATATCAGCAACAAAGCCAACACCGTGACTGGAGGCACGCACACAGGACATGATTATGACATCACGCTCCTGTCCTTGAAAAGCATCTACAGTGTTAATATAAATATCCTTCCCCTCCTCTGACTTCAGAATCTCGGAAAACTCATGCTGAAGGCATTTCAGTTGCAGCTTGTATGGAGTGATGATGCCAACTGTGATTCTCCCAATTCCCAATGACCTTGAAGTTTTCATGAGATGTTCATACAACTGAACACAAAATTGTGCTTCGTGTATATTCTGATAAGAAACAGATCCGCCTCTGTGAGATTCTCGTCCATGAGTAACATCATAGAACAGATAAGGCCTAAGCAAAGGGTCCTTGTAATACACCTCATCAGGTAGCTTAATAACACTTTCACTGTCACTAAGGCGTCCTTGATTAAAAGTACCTTGAAGGAAATCACGGATTTGAGGATGCATTCGATATTGCACAGAGAGCAACATAGTTGGGGCACCCTGCTTGCTGAAACCTTTCAAACAGACTTCTACTGTATAACAATGTTCCAGCAGCCTTGCTAATGACAGTTGCAGGAAGTTGCTGGGGTCACCAACAAGGACACAACGAGCAGCACCAAGAGCAAGCGGAGGAAGCACACCAACCTCACTAGCTTGGGCTGCCTCGTCAATAACCACCATATCGAAACCATGAGTAAGGCGAGAGAACAGCTTTCGACCGCTACTAGAGACTGTTGTGAAAACAATCTCAGCTTCATTGGCAAAACTTGCCTCAAGACTAGCACGGGCTTCTTCAAGATTGAAGTTGCCACTGTTTCGGAACCTACCTTCCAGAATAAGAAGGCGAGAGATCTCAACTAGGACTTTGTCCCTGTTCTCAACAGCTGCTGCTAGGTTTTGCAGCAATGCATCTCGGTTCTGGTCACGTGCCATGAGAATATCAGGGTCAACACCAACAGATCCTTGGGAACGACCATCAGCAGCTGCAAAAACTGAGTTTATTTTGTAGATCAGCAATATGTGCTGAGAAATAAGCTTCCTGACCTCTTAAATCTTGCATCCATTTTGAAACCTCTTCACGGCTCTTGACTAGAAGCTGTTCAGTCCGCCTCTCAACTGAGACTGCCTGAGCAGCACGCGATTGTGAATCGACACCAAACCCTAGCAACATCTGGTCTGTAGACTTTCATCTCGCCATCAATAAATCCACGATCGAGAACTCGTGAGAGAAGCTCATCTGTTGCGGCATTAGAAGGAGCACAAACCAACATTCTGGGCTTTGGGCATAGTTTTGAAAGTGTGCGAAATAGATTCTGGTCCATGTTATGAAGAACTTCATCAATTGAACCTACGACAATATTCTCGGTACTGCCCTCATTGGCTGCCTTATAGCTCTGTGGTGCTAATTTCTTAAGTAAAGATGTGTAGTAATGCTGATACTGCACCAGATGGATCACATTGAGCATCCCCCATACAGTGTGCGTCTTACCTGTTCCAGGAGGCCCCTGAACAAGAGTAAAAGGCCATGGATCTTGTCTCTTTGTTGTACCACTACTTGTGCCAGCAGCTGTGTGCGTCGCAGCCCATTGGATTGCTCCCAGCTGGGGCCCGTTGAAGGTTCTATGCAGATAGTCAACAAAATTAGGAGTGAAGCACTCGGGCATGACTGGTGTCTGGTGCTCATATTTTGGGAAATGCTCAGGACTGGGCTTTAAAATCGCGTTTTGCATCTATACGAGGAAGCAAGAAGTTCAAGTTCAATGAATGAAAACGACATTATCACAAGTGTTATAATATAATCGAGAGAGCCCAGTAATTGTAGAAATTGATTCTGCCTGTACCTGTGAGTTGAGACGGCAAAACGCGTGCAAGGCAACGTATTCTCGCTGAGTGGTTGCAAGAGAACCAAGCGCAGTCAGATACCATATGCTCCTCAGTTGAAGCTTCTTGAGGATATGATCATCATCAGCCTTGCCGCTGAAACCAACAGGAAGGCGAGAACGGCATAAGACAGTGCTGAAAAAAGAAGACTCCCAATCTAATAAAACGCACACAAAAAAAAAAAAACACGAATAACCAACCTGTATGTGTCATATGAACCCCCCACATAGAAATGAAGGACTGCACCAGCAGGATCACGATTGTCCAAAGGAATATGTCGTCTAACAGTGCCAGCCACACGTCCATTCATCTCAAGTTCATCAACATCTTCACTGGATGAGCCAATGTTCCTCTTCGATCTGACTGTATAACATAGTGAGATTTAATAATCAAACTTTAATAAAACAATTACTAGAACAGAAAAGAAAGGATAACAGACCTGTCCCTGGCCTTGGATTTGAAAGAACACCAACATCACCCTCCTTAAATGTCCATCTGCAATCATTCACTGGGAGGACAATCACATCGTACCATCCTAAGAGAAAACAGAGGTTAAGAAAGCGAATTGAACCCGAGTAAGACATAAATACGAAATATAGTGTCAGGTCACCAAACCTCTTTCTCGCCTTTCCACAGTTTTAACCCGGACCATAATGTGTGAATTCGTTTCAGAAGACTCCTCCCATGTGCTATAAAGTTGAGCTCGACACTCCTCAAAAAGCAAAGGTTCAAACACTCTGACATATTCGTCAACTGATTCAAACCGGCCCGGAACACACTGAAGCTCAGAATCCTCTGAGAGACATAAAATCTCATTATATCAGTTTTCAATGATGATGGAAACAAGAGTAGAAATGAGAGTTCAAGTAAAAGCAAACAGCAAGCAACAGTGGATAGGAAATTCATACAAGTCCTCAAACTAGCCTAGGCAGAAGATAAGATCGAACTTTTCTTTCACTTCAATGCCATAATTTCTACCGCCTGAGCCCATATGTATTTCTTCTCTCCTCCACATACCTGGCCTTAGCTACACAAGCATCTGTACACTTTTGCAAGACCGAGAGTATACAAGGCCACTATATATCAATGACTCTATACCAATGATTTTCTCATCATACAAAAAAAGGCAGGAAAAACAAACATCAAAGTTTTTTGTACATATAAATAGTACCAAAATGAAGAAGAAAAAGAAAAAACATGTTTTAGCAGAGACTGATAACAGACTCGCACTATGCATGTTAGTGTCTTTACTTTAATACCTGGATGGTGCCAAAACTTTTCATTTGTCACCTCCCGAATAAGACGTTCTACTGAGGAGTCCTGATATGAAGAACCCGTTAGAGCTGGCTTCTTCACAGGAACATTCTTTTTGCTCCCAGGTTTTAAATCCATGAGATTTTGGCTGATTGAAGGTGGTTTCCGATTAGACATGTACATGTTCTTCTGCTGTCTCGTATCAGTTGGTTGCTTCCGTGAACTCTGTCTTGGAAATGGAAATAGTTGTACCTCTAATGATGAATCTGCATCGCCATTAAGCTTCCTAGACTTAGCTACTTCTGATGAATTTACATCACCATAGCTTTCAGGTTTGGGTTGAGAAGACTCCAGACTAGTACCAACCTCATTTGATGAAAAATCGGCCTGTTTCTGATCCTTGCCGAAAGAAATGTCATGCTTTTCTCCACCAGAAGAAGGAACAGCTCGAATTTCTTTTACATTTCGGATGGCCGTCACCTGTCTCTTTGGGGTCAAAGATTTCATAGGTCCAGCTTGCTTGACCTCGTCAATATTGATCAACATAGTTTGTCTATTACGCTTCTTTCCTAACATTGCTTCTTTTTGGTGGTCTATTTTCCTCTTTACTGGCTGATTTGCAAGCCTAAGTGCATGACTCGCTTCAGGACCCTTTGCTTCTCTTGTTTTGGAACTGTCCCTCTATCTTCTAGACCATCTGTTACATCAAGATTGTTGCTGGTGTCTAAATTTTGAGCACTCCCACCTTTCTGATCAGACAAACCTTGATTCAGCTCTAGGGATGAATGATCAACACTGCTCTCTGACTTTGTTTCATCAATAGCTGTATCTATAATGGAATTTTTACCATTGCCAGAAGCAGTACATGCTACTAGTTTGGATTTCACCAGATCATGAGCTTGCAGGCTCCCACTTCCTGTACATTCATCAGCAGAACCCTCAGCATCAGACCACTCACCTTCTTCTCTCTCTGCTGGTTTAACAACTGTATAACCAGAAGTTAACTGAGGATCTGTTTTATTGTAATAACCATTACTTGAATCCAGTGCATGCTCAAACTTAGAACTCTGATCCTGTCCTATATTCCGTACAAGACCCACCTCAGGGTCATGGGTAACCTTTGAGCGCGTAAATGACTGAAAACCTGAGAGAGATGATGCATGTGAGAAAGCACGGTTATTCTTTACTGCTTCTGCACGTACCGATGAATGTAACAAATCAGAAGTCTGTTGAGTTGTAGCAAGAAGTGCCTTCTTTGGTTGCAAGAGGATGCTGCTAGTTTCCTCATCATCCTCGGCAGGGGGTTCATTAAGATCAAAAATTAACCTCCCTTTAGAACCCATTTCATGCGTAAATGCATGCAAAAAATATTGTATACTGAAGAGGGTCTAACTGGCTTATTTTGTATTCCCCTCAAAGTAAAGACTGTGATAGACATAAAAGAGACCCCAAACAGACTGGTCAACAGATTTCTACAAGCATTGCTGATCTGCACAAAAGTTTAGAAAACTGAATTTCAATGAAGAAACGATAAAAAAGTCCGATGAGAAACAATTAAAAAAAGTCAGATTTCTACGAGTTGTTATCAGCTAAGAGTTTGAAATCCAGAAAGTGTGCCCAAGAAAACCATTATCAAATAAAACAACTCATGGTTGTCGAGAGAGGCTGTTCAAGTGATCACATATGATGACCATAGAAATGACAAAACAGAAGCCATTCGAAAACTGAGCGCCCCCCCAAGAAGCAACACTGATATTCCAGACTGCAAGAGAGAGAGCTGACATTTTCCATTGTTCCCACACGATAATTCAACTTCCTAAAGGATATGGAGAAATAAAAGGGTATTCAATGAAAACAAACCCTAACAGAACCGCATAGCATTTCCCAAATCAACAAAGGCAAACCACCGCCCAAAGCACTCTAAAACATTTGCATTGACTGACGGCAACTTCCGGATCCTATTGAATTCAGAATGAATGAACAACGAACTCCTTCGGTCTAACAACAATATGAGACAGCAATCTATCAAGATCAAGTTCTTTCCCACCCAATTCAAAATCAATTGCGCAATCACATCAGTTGATTCCCTAATGTAACTACACAACCAGGAATCACAAACCCACCTCTCTCTCTCTCTCTCGTTATCTATTGAGGGCAATCAACTAACCTCCATATGGGAAACAAAATGGAGGATAGTTCCAACCGATTCAAGCACTTCCCTAATTTACACTTGACCACAACAGATCAATCTTCAGAAATTGCTCGCACTAATCCGCCGCCCGAAGCATGATTCAAGTTCGCCCTCCGTTCAATTCTCAAATTTTATCGCCAATAACTCAAAACAGTCGAACAGCATCCCAGGAAAGATTAATTAATTAAGAAATTAGGAGAGAGAGACTCGACTAGACAGAGCGGAAAAATTAAAATTAAAATTAAAATGAAAAAAAAATGAAGGAGAAAAAGAATTAATTTAATTACCTATGTGTATTGTAAGGTCCGATTGAATCTCTGGTGAGCGGAACAGTAGAGAGATGGGAACGAGAGAGAGAGTGCATTAGTGCAAGCAAATATGCAAAGAAAGGAGGGTGTGTTATTGGCTTATATAGGACAAGAAGGAGGGATCTCCGTCACCGGCCGTTTAATGTTGTCCCTCCACCGTTAAATTATTCCCGGCTCAACTCGTCAACCCAAATCCCGATTTCTGCCTTTGAAAATTTGGTTTTGTTGACCATTCTATTTATTCATTTAAATAAAAAGATGTTCAAGTTTAATGTTAAAATAAATAGCATGGATGGGTGACTTTTTGGAAGTCATCTTGATATGTACTCCAAGGAAAAATCTTTAAGGGTATAGGTCCAAAACAAGCATTATTTTGTCGAAAAATAGTTTGCGATGTTACAAGTGGTATAAGAGTCTTTCGCATCCCTCTTTAATGGTGGTGAGACAAACCTCAACGAGGATATTGAGTCCCAAGGGAGGTGTATGTAACACTTTGATGGAGGTCTAGATCAAGGGATGGTTTATGTGCTTATTGGAGTTGGTTTTCAGTGAGTGAAAGGGGATGGTTTTGGCGTGAATAGTAGAGACGAGAGAGGTGGTGGTGATTTGGTGACCTGAGAACTGACGCAGAATGATTAAAAGAAGGGAAAAGAGTTGGGCGTGTGGGAGAAGAGAGGAAGGAGATGAAGGCTCGACAGAGGAACAGAAGGGGATTGGGATTCTGTAATACGATTTTTATTTCTTGCCCTTGGAAGAAACAATCCTAGTTTACTTATAGCCTAACAACTTCCCATCTATCAATACTCATAATTCCCTCCCAATTATTCCCAAATCCCGTAAATTTCCAATCAACAATAATAGTAATTATAACTAATAATATCCCTGTAATCATGCATCCATCAATCCCCACTCCTTCCAAACGACCTTGTCCCCAATGCTTTCCCTTATTCTTCGAATGTTCCCACTAGTAGCATGAGGTGAGCATTTGCGCACCGGTGGCCAATAGTGTAGCGCTCGTCGCAGTTGTAGCATTTACCGTCCCTCCGTTTCTTCTCCATCTCTGTCGGGGTTAGGCGAATGAACCCTCCTGGCGGTAGTTGTGGCCCAGCTCGACCTCCACTTGCTCCCCCGCCTCCTGGCTGCCACCGTTTCCACCACCGCCCCCATTTCTAGACATGCCAAATTACAACCCAACCCGTTGACCTGACCTGAAATTGCCCGACAACTAGAAATTTTTGTAACCCGAAATTTCGAATGACCTGAACCCGATAACCCGTGATTTTTTGGGTCAGGTTGGCTGGGTTAGTGGGTCGACGTGTTAGACCCGTTCCATTTAATATATTACTCCCAAAATATGATAAAATCACTCAAAATTGGTGAGATATTTGAAAAAAATCACAAGGATTTGAATGACATGTTTGGAGTTTAATGATAATCAAATATCATGTGTTTCTTGTAGTAGTATTACTCTTGTGATTGTTTTTGACGATTTGCACAATTTAGATTTCATTTCATTAGCGTGGGAGGATTTAAGAATATGTTAATTGACATGTGTTAGGTTAACTATTGTCATGCATATGTGAAAATTTGTGTTCTTTAAGAAAATATGAAGCATGTTTGATATTGTTTCTGAGAACGCTCATAACCCGAAATGACCTGTAACCCGACCCGAAACCGAATGAGTTGGGTCAATATTTGACCCAAAATAATCCAACCAAACATGACCTAACCAGTAACCAAAGTTCCCAACCGGAAATTATCCAACCCGACCTAATTGCCAGGTCTACCCATTTCCAACTCCCCCAGCGGCCACTGCCGGCCCGTTTTTGCCTCCGCTCGGCGTGCCTCCAATGCTCCTCGTAAGAGATCGTGACTGCCTCCCTAGAATTCCTTTCCACCTAATAAGCTCTTATTCTTTTCTCTTTGCAATCCTAAAGATTGCTCTTAAGAAACCTGGTTCAAAAACTCAGTAGCAGCAATTTCTGGCTTCAATCCGGCTAAACATATTCCTACTATAGTCCCGTTTTGCTTCAGTTTAACCAACTGCTCAGACACTGATTCTCCTGAACCTCCGAACCTATCCTCGAACTCTTCTTTAAACAGGCTCCATGTGATCACGAGCTCCCTGTCAACATAGGTGCACTCCAGCCATTCCCACCACTGTTGCGCTCCTCCCTCAAGATAGAAATAAGCTAGGTGCGCTTTTCTTTCCTCGGGAATATCGTGGTGTCGAAACCACTGATCTTCTCTTGACAGCCATAATGTTGCATCCTCTATACCAGAAAACTTCGTGAACTCGATGATGGGGGTCTTCGCGCGAAACCATGTCTCTCCCTCACCACTCCACCCGCGACCTCGACGGCCAGCTCGGCCTCCCGGGTTCGGCTCCTTTTCGTACTCCACCGTCGCCTTACAAACCCACGAGATGAATTCTTCGCTTGCCGAACTTCCTTTCTTCTGCCGCCATTGCTACCTCCGCCTCGTAGGAATCCTTGACTGCCCACCCTTCCATCGAATCGAGAGGTCGAAAGAGGAAGGATTCCACATTACTATCGGCAGCCCATCCCTGCTGTCCGATCTCCATCTCTCCCAACGATATCGACGCCCTCGAATCCGGGATTGAATCGAGTCGAGTGAGTTCCTTCACTCCACCCTTGACCACCTTGCCATACTCTGTTTTATCTCGCCTTTGGCCGGCCTGTCTATATTCCAATACACGTCCGATGCTTGGAGCCCCCGCCGCGGCTTCCTCATCTCGCCTAGCCGCTGCCTTTTTATACAAAGATCCTCCATATCATCCTCTTGGGGTTGTTGACCATTGCCAAGGCTCGATTTCCTCTTGGGTTTCGGTAGGGAGCCTTTAATTTTTCTTACCGTTGTTGGTGCATCGGTTGTCATCTCGCCAGGTTTGGATCTCGTAATCATTCCGAAGAGCTCGATCAAGGTATCTTTGAGCGTGTTGATACTCTTCTCCACCGCGCCTCTTTCCGCTCCTGGACAATGGTTTCACGGAGTTGGTCGAGTTTGCCCACGATCACCTCATGTCCCTTAATGAGTTCAGCTTGGCCCTTCACCATCTCGCTGATTTTCTCGGCCATCACCATCAACTCTGTCTCATCGTGGAGCTCAGTTCCGTCTGTTTTCACTTGTTTGGATTGCGCTTGATTCTTTCCCATGTCTTATATCTTAGTTGGCGTAAACGCCGCCCAACAGAGCTCTTAATACCAATTTGATGAAGGTATGGATCAAGGGATGGTTTATTTGCTTATTGGTGTTGGTTTCGGTGAGTGAAAGGGGATGGTGGCTCACTCTACTGTCACTTTAGAAAATGGCCAAGTGTAACCACTTCCTAAAGCGCAGTATAGCGGGTTTGGGTTTTATTGTCAACCCGGGTCCTAGATTTGATGACTACTCGGTGAATTTTTGTTATCTAGCAGTGAACTTTTAGTGCAGATTCAAACAAACAAAAACGCAAAGCAAGTTAAACGGTTGTTTTCAAGTCAAGAGAGGTCACCCGGATATGGTTCCCCCTAGACTGCAGTTAAGCTGGATTGCAATTTAAAGTTCAGTTTTCATGAAAGTTATACTGCGGAAGGTTCTTAAACAGTCTTAAGTCTCGACTAAAGGTCTCCAAAACCTCTCAATCCGAGTCTCTAGCGGGCGACTAACCTCCACCGGAGTAAACAGATTGAGGCCCTAACGAACCAAACCTCCACTACCGAATTGAATTCGGTACAGAATAGCGAATTGGCTCCTCGACTAAAGTCACCAATTCACTACCTTCAATTAAGGATACTCTATCAACCTAGGCAGATATTCTCATTCTAGGTCAAAGTAGAAACAA